CAGCTTCAGTTCAAAACTCAGTTAAAGAAAATCTGAGTTGTCGTAAGCCACAACTCAAGTTATGTCTTCCATCACTATAGCAAAAACTTCATTCACCATCAAAATCTCTTAAAAGTCCTCATCCTATACTTGTGGGTCTTTAGCACCCACAACTCATGCCCCTCATGCCAAGCCTTTTTCTAATTCTGTTTCAAGCACTGAATCTCATTTCCATTTCCAACTCAATGAGCTAATGAGGAGTCCAAACAAAGCACTCCTAAAATCCACTCTCTTTTGAAGTGTTTTAGGTCTAATTCTTGAACTCATGTAAATGGGCAACATTACCCACTTGCTCTTTGTAGCAGCCCAGTCCATCTGCAGCTACTGAAACAAAAAAGCCCCAACAATAGTTTATTAACATTAGTAGAATGAGCATAAATAATGTATTAATGCAAATCATATTCTATAGATTACAAAGAATGAATGTAAGAATTGCATACCTTTATTTCTATTTTTGGCAATAGCTCATAGAAGAGTGCCTTTGTATTTACTAGTGGGTGCGGTCCGGTTTGGTACGGTTTCCATCTCAAATTGGAACTTGTACATTTTAAGTGGTCCAGTTTTAGTAAAAAAAATTAGAAAATGGATCGGTCCCGTTTGAATCGGTTTTGGTTTGGTTTTCGATTTTTCCAATTTTGGACCGGATTATTATTATTTCAAATTATTATTTTTATATAAATTTCAACTAAAATTTTAGTTTTTGGGGCTTGAAAATTAACAAATGATCCAATTTCATACAAAGAGAGATATTGTGCATAGAAAAGAGAGTTGTTTTGAACTTGGCTTAGGAAAATATTAGTTATGAGATTAAAGAACAATCGGTCTAGTTCGATTTGATAAGGCGTGAAATTGAAACCGAAACCGGTTGAAATCGGTCCGGTTCGGTGTCAGTTTGTTGACTTTTTTAGTCACTCTTTTTTTTTTCTTCGGTTTTTTCCATCTCATTTGGCTCGATGTTCCGATTTTTCGGTCTAGATACCCGCCCCTACTTGTACTTGTTCATGATGAAAGTATCGTCAAGGAACAACATAGGCCTTCACCATCAGAAAATCATCAATGCAAGCCTTGAAACAAATAGAGATCATAATTTTTTGGGCCTAAATTCCACGCACCAGCCCAATCCATTATTGACCCATATAAAAAAGCAGGAGTCTGGGTTTTGTTTAAAGTCAGAAATTAGCCCAGATAATTTTAGAAGCCCAGACCTTTGTGAAACAATTAGCAAGGATTAAATTCATAGATTAAAGATTAATTGCTATTAAAATGGTCAATTAATCTGGACAAATTAGTTTTCTAAATTGATTTTAGGAATAGGCCTAGCTTCTAAAAACTTTCCAAAGGCCCAAAAAATTGATCATCACCGTTGATCTCAATTCCAGAGGTCAAATCAGCAGATATTTTTGGAAGATATTTTTCTCTCAAAAAACCCCACGTGACTCTGAAAGTCAAAGTTTTCAACCGGGCAAAGGAAGTGATGGGGAGTTAATAAAAAATAGGTTCATCAGAAGAACACTCTCCATTACCATTTAAAAAGCTACAAAAGAAGGGCGGCCAAGATTCCTTTTCTATGCTCATGAGGGCTCTGCATCAGAACATGATGTGTTTTTCAAGAAATAAACAGGAGATAGGAGAGTTGTTTGCCATAAAAAGCAAATAGACCATCATAGAAACTGATTGTTGATGGTTCTTTTTGCCAGAATAATAACTCCCCTTGTTTCTTCATTGGAAAAAGAAAAATGCTTTCAAAAGATCTACCCTCTAGATATTAAAAATTAAACCCTCAGACATGTTTTCTATAAATATGAGAGGAGGTGAACAGGGTTAAAGGAGCCAAAAAATTCAATCAAAACAAAGACAAGATCGGTTGATCTCAAAAGTCTTCAGTCTCTGAAGCAACACGACTCTTTGATTCACAAAAGACAAATCAGTCAGAACTCAGGCTTCTGACTTTAGTTCACTTTAAAGAAACAGTTTACAAAGGAAACAAGATTTCTCTCGTTACAAATTTGGTTCAGCATAAGCCAAATCAATCAGAATTCGGGTTTGTCATAATATGAAAACCTCAACGAATTCACAGAAATGCCTTGATCTTTCAAAATTGCCAGAATAGCTCTTGGATAATTCATAATTAAGCAGAACAGGTACTGTGGTGCAGCTCCAGGCCAGCAGTCATCAATCCAGCCACTTCCAGCCTTGTCCAGACTAATGAAATCTCAATTATGCTCATCCAGCAAGCCTCTCCGTGGCTAGGATAGATTAAAGCTCTACAAATCTCCACATTGATGTCGATTTCCAACTGAGCCTCATTAGTTGAAGGTGCTAACGTTTGAATCCAGCATAGATACACCCAGTCCAGCTTGAGTCACAAGCAACAATCCAAGCAGAAATCGAAGCCCAATGTTCTGTTGTCCTTTCAGACATGGCAGTCCCTTTTTGTCTTAAAAGTGGTGTAATAGGTAGTTTTTCCTAAAAACAATTTGATTTATTTTCAATTCATTTTGGCCAGAACTACCAGCTTACTGTGATAAATTGTGAAGTCCTCACCAGTCTGAGGCAAGAAAAGAACTTACTTGGGAGATATTCCTCACCCAAATTCACAATCGTTTGTTTAAAGTTAGTAACTTGGGGCGCAAGTTATCTATTTTTTATAAGTCTGTTAGGGTTTTTAAACATTTTTTTTAAGGGGAAAGCGATGGGTTTCATTCCATTCAACTATAAATAGTGTGTGCAAAAGGGCATGTTAAGGTGGCCATGTTAAAACCTTCCGAAGGAAAACCAAGTGGGATAAAACCCCGGGGTAGGAAAAAGTACCACCCATGCCAGCCGTACAATATAAGATTCCTAGAAACAAGGGAGTCAAAAAGAGTCTGCAACTAAAGCATCATGCAAAACTATTGGGGGGGTTCCAGAACCACTCAGCCGCCCCCAGGAGAGTGTAATGCCATCCTAGCAAGTCTTGCAGCAGCTTTATTAGCCTCCTTCATCACATATTGTAATAATATACCGTCATGCTGTGCTAGTAATCGTTTTCACTCGTCAACTAAACAACCTCAAGTGGGACAAGTCCTGTGATACTTGGCTTAGAACATTAACAACTCCTTGACCATCACCTTCAATGAGTTGCGGCACATTAGGCCATCTTTGGGCAAACAAAAGCCCTTCCTTTAAGGGTAGTAATTTTCATGCAAAAGGCTGGAGACCCCCGAACAACCACTAGTTTACATGCAAGGAAAGTGCCTTCATGGTCATGAGCCACAATTCCAATCCCTCCAATCCCTGTCGCGGCTCGACAAGGCCCCCCATATTGATTTTAATAAATCCCAAGGGCGGACGCTGCCATTTCGCCTTGACTCGAGATGAAGAAATCAGAGGAGGGTGCTGAAGCTCATAAGATTCATGCAGAAGCCGGATGGCTCCACTAACAATTTCTAACACACTCCGCCGACGTTCATTTTAGACCACTTGGTTACGTTCGTTCCACAGAGCCCACATACACATCATGACTTGCTCTAACTCAGGGGCTGAAAGGGTGAAGGCAACACCTTGGAACCAAGTTGTGAGGTCCACAGCCACTACCCTATGAAGAAAGTCCCAACATGAGCAATGACGCCAAATAGTGGCACACTCGTATACAAAAGAAAATTAACTTGTTGACCATAAATGGTTCTCAAGCTAATGGGGAACTTTGCCCTACCATCACAGGACTAAATCAAAATGGGTGAACAATAATCAATCAAATCAATAGATCAAAATCAATTAAAATCAAACAAAGAAATTGTAGTAGTTAGCAACACAAATTCGAATGAAGAGGAAAACGAGAGCTATGTAATGAAGAAAGCAACAAAACTCAACTTCGAATGAGGACAACAAGGTAAGTTCGCCACCAAAATTAAAATCGAAATGGACAGCTCGCGAGTTATTGGTTTTTTCCTTTGAAATCTATACTAATTGGCATAATTGTATTTCAGAAACTAATCAAACTGAGGCAGTGGACAACTGTCCACTTTTGGGTTTTTTTGTTCTCCAATTTCAGTGATTTAGTGTTTCTTTATATTACTAACGGTAGAAATGAGGTTATATATAACTTCAAAAGTAAAAAATTGAATTTATTTTTTTAATACAAGCGATAGTCTAAACTACAACGGATGAAGAGTTTTTCTCACACACTCAAACTCCGTTGGCTAAATAATTGAAACCTTAAAACAATGAAATAACATAAAACATTAACGATTTATTTATTGGTTAGGGAAAAAAAAAAATTACCGTGTTACTAAAGTAATTAAGGAGAACTGAGACAACTCGTTGCTAAGTGGCTGGATGCCACACTTTGGTAATACCTGAAAAATAGAAAAAAGAAAAAGCATACGTCGCCTGAGAGATTCGAACTCTCGCGGGGAAACCCCATGTACTTAGCAGGCACACGCCTTAACCACTCGGCCAAAGCGACATTTGGTTTTACTTTTGCAATATATTTAAATATATATACATATATATATGTAGTTTGGAGACGCTCGAGTGCCCTCGCGCTTACGCAGAGACAGTGTGGGACAGCAGGATCAAGGCTGCGTTCTAGCCCACGTGCACACTATGTGGTGCCTGTTGATCAGTGGTATTTCCGTCTTTTCACACGCCTCAAACCCCTGGCCCTGGGCGCAGGCAGATCTCCTCTGACGCTTCCCTGCACGCCTCCAAGTCCAACAATCCACTTTCCCTTGGCGCCATCTGCTTCTCAGTCAGAACCTTTGTCTTCTTCCACGAGCGGACAAATACTCCACCGCCAATCCCAACGCGCCACGTGGACCCAATCACTTTCCACTCGTCCCTCTCCTCTCCTTCCCCATCCCCACGTCATCAACAAGAAAAAGCTACGCCCTCAGTCCACTCAGATCCTTCCACGTGGACCCCTTCCCCGGCGCATGTTAGCGACAGTAGTCAGTAGGCAGCAGCAACTGTCGAGGATGTTGAGACTTCAGACGGAGATTTCGATTTTCAAACCATCAACTACCAGCCACTCCAGACGACATTTCCAAAGCGCCGTTTTGAAAAAAAAGCGTTATATTCCAACACCAATCCACTCCGTCGGATTTAAATCCAACGGACCATATTACTCCTCCACTTTTACATAAATACCCTTCCCTCCTCAAACACCTCCATTTTCGACACATGCTTCTTCCGCTGCTGCTGCTTCTCTGAGCACCCGCCGCAGCAGATCCCAGCCCCTTCCCGAAAATGGCGTCGCTCGCCCTCACCACCACTCTCTCCCCGACCCTCCCCTCTCTCAGATCCCACGCTTCCTTCCCAAAAGCGCTACTTCTAAAACCGTTTCCAGTCTCCCAAACCCGCCGAAACTCCCTTAAAACCGCCGCTCTCGGTCTCGGTTTCAACAAAACCCTCATTTCCTCCCCCAAACTCGCAAATTTAACCCGCGAGTTTTCTTCCCCCCGCCGTGGCCTCTCTGTCAAGGCCGCTGCGACAACCGGCGGCTCTTCGATCACTCCGGCGGCCAAGGAACCATGGCAAGGCGCGGCCATGAAGCCTTTGCTCGCGTCCATTGCGACGGGCGTAATCCTCTGGTTCGTGCCCACTCCAGCAGGCGTCACCAAGAATGCGTGGCAGCTTCTAGCGATTTTCCTCGCCACCATCGTCGGCATCATCACCCAACCCTTGCCTCTCGGAGCCGTCGCCTTGCTCGGCCTCGGCGCCTCCGTCCTTACTAAGACGCTGACTTTCGCGGCGGCTTTCTCCGCCTTCGGAGATCCAATCCCCTGGCTCATCGCCCTCGCCTTCTTCTTCGCCCGGGGCTTCATCAAGACCGGCCTCGGAAATCGAATCGCGTACCAGTTCGTCTCCCTCTTCGGTAGTTCCTCTCTGGGGTTAGGGTACAGTCTGGTCTTCAGTGAAGCCCTGTTGGCTCCGGCGATCCCTTCCGTCTCTGCCCGAGCCGGAGGAATTTTCTTGCCGTTGGTGAAGTCGCTCTGCGTTGCGTGCGGTAGTAATGTCGGGGATGGGACAGAGGGAAAGTTAGGGTCGTGGTTGATGCTGACGTGTTTCCAGACTTCGGTGATTTCGTCGGCCATGTTCTTGACGGCCATGGCTGCTAACCCGTTGAGCGCCAACTTGACTTTCAACACGATTAAGCAGACGATTGGGTGGACGGATTGGGCTAAAGCTGCAATTGTGCCTGGTTTGGTGTCGTTGATTGTGGTGCCGCTGTTGTTGTATGTGATTTACCCCCCGGAGGTGAAGAGCAGCCCCGACGCGCCCAAGCTTGCCAGGGAGAGGCTGGAGAAGATGGGCCCCATGTCTAACAAAGAGATTATAATGGCTGGCACTCTGCTTCTTACGGTACGCATTTCCTTTTAGTTGCTAATGCAATAATTAGTCAAATGTAGTTAGAAGTTTCTGGGTTTTTTAATTTGGTCTTGCTTAGAAGTTTCTTGATAAGCTAAATTTGACAATGATTAGTGAACTTGGTTTTTTGATTATTTCCAATGACTATTTGAGGCATTGAAGTGTGTACAACACTTGTTTGTTGTCGTGTTTTACATAGAGCTTCAGTGATCTGCAAAAATTGAAGGGCGACCTTTTTTTGGTTTCTTCTTGTAAAAAATTGTGTGTCTTGACTTAAGCTTTTCTGGTTGTAAAATATAAATTAATGAGTGGAGCTTGTTGAAGAGCCACTCTGTTATTTTTAAAAGAAGCTGTAATCAGTTTATGGTTTGAATAATTGCAAGAATTTAATTAGTTATCAGTGCCATTCATCCTCTTTCGCAAATTTAAACTGAATGTTCTAAGTCTCTGTTTATTGCCTTCCGTTTTTGAATTTGCATGTTCCTCAGAAAATTTAATTTACCCGTCATGTCTAATGCTGTCAGTAATTGTTCCTTTTCCATTTCTTGCATCAAAATCCTGTTCTCTATGATGCTATATGCAAGCATTACAATTTATTGCTAATAAATTAGAAATGGCTCTTCTCTTGGTGGTAGTCCCATTTGACATGATATTCATTCAGCGCATGAAAATTTGACTCGTCTACTTTCAGTTTTTGTTGTGAGGTAGCATTGAGTCAATCGGTTTTGAAGTAACCAAATGTTATGTTGTATGATAATTTTACTGGCAAGGTTCCCTTCATCATTGTTTATCTTTGTTGATGATATTCTGTAGTAACTGACGCTTCTCATGCATGATTAAGGATTGTGAATGTGTTTCCTGATAGGGTTTGTTTGGAGAATTGTATTTTATGGGGTTGTAGGTTTTAAGTTTCTCGAATTATCTACCAACTCAGGGTGTTGGGTGGAAACTCTTGTAGGCTGTTCCTTGCAGCTTCTTTCTTAGGCATCATCCCTCTTCAGTTTAGGACACTGTTAAAGCTTGTGTCAAGATAGGTGCTCCTCTTGGAAAGGTTAATACTTATGATTGAAGGATAAAGTCACCTTTCTAAGCAACCGTGTTTCTAACTAACCAACTAATTATCCCCTTTTCATCTTGCTCCTCCTCTAGTGGTTGTATAGGCTAGTAAAAAGCGACGAAGTATAGTCACATGGGGATATTACAAGCTTCATATTACTTACTGAATGCAATGAAGTATTTCTTAAAAGATTATTGAAATTTCCTGTACTGTAAAGTTTCCTGTACATGTAAAGTTTAAAACCAGCATAGGATAGGAAATGTGAAGGATCCAAAAATGCAAAAGAGATCATGAATAATATATGATTTGCTCAATGGACTGAAGTGTTTATAGGAAAATATTGAAATTGCCTGCACTGGTAGATGTTAACACCTGCCATTAACTTTTCATGGCTTATGTTTTCAGAGTTTAGCATTTACTGTATGACATTTGCAACTGGGTGGATAGGGGTCATAACTGCACTTTTAATTCTCCTACCCCATGCTGATTGTTGTAGCAGCCTAACCTTGAAAATACTATTGTAATAACTCAGTTGATGCCGTAAAACTATTTCCCTTTACTGACACTTGTACACAAATGTCTGATGCTGTTTCTGTGGATGCATCTATATTGTCACTTGAAAATATATATGCTCATAGTTTACCTCCTTTTTCTCTGTGCTATATCAGGTTGGACTTTGGATTTTTGGAGGAGTTTTGAATGTGGATGCTGTTACTGCTGCCATTCTTGGATTATCTGTTCTCCTTGTTACTGGTGTTATTACATGGAAGGAGTGCTTAGCTGAATCAGTTGCTTGGGACACACTTACTTGGTTTGCTGCACTCATTTCAATGGCTGGGTATCTCAACAAATACGGTCTTATCTCCTGGTTTAGTCAAACTGTAGTTAAGGTTTGTCTTCTTTTTCTCTTACTGGTCACCTAGATGTGCATGCTTATAAATGTAGGTTGGCAGTTTAGATGAGCATTACGTTTTTTTTCTTTGTTTCTGTGGTGAAAAACTTTTAGTACACGCAGACCTTACTCGCATAAAAGTGGGTTCATCCTCACTTAATTTATGGTCCTTTCATAGTTATCATTTGTATGTATTTCAGTTTAGCAAGTTTCCATAACTGGCTTGAGACTTACAAATCAATAAGAAATTTTAACTAGCTTACAAGTCACTCTGCTAGTTATCCATCATCTGATTTCAGGACGTTTCCATTTACTGGTGTAAACTACTGCACTCACATTAGTGCACTAATGTTATATGTCCTGCTATATGACCTCAACCTTAATGAATCTTCTGCTGTATGTTGTTAAGTGCAGTGTTTTACTTTTGGTTGTCAGTGTCACTAACAACTATTCTGCTCTTTTTACAGTTTGTTGGCGGATTGGGTCTTTCATGGCAGCTGTCTTTTGGCATTCTGGTTCTTCTCTATTTTTACTCCCACTACTTCTTTGCCAGCGGAGCTGCTCATATTGGCGCGATGTTTACAGCATTTTTGTCTGTTGCTAGTGCTCTTGGAACTCCACCATACTTTGGAGCGATGGTGCTTGCATTCCTCTCCAACCTCATGGGTGGCCTTACCCACTATGGTATTGGGTCGGCACCTGTTTTCTACGGTGCTAACTATGTTCCTCTTGGCAAGTGGTGGGGCTATGGATTCGTTATCTCCGTCGTCAATATTATTATTTGGTTAGGAATTGGAGGGGTTTGGTGGAAGTTCATCGGCTTGTGGTAAAGGGAGTTGGCCGTGAAAATCTGCCAACTTAAAATCCGGCACTGTTTCTGATTACACTCGGATGCTGTTTCACTTCTTTGCTGAGGCACACTATTGATCTTTCCCTTTAATTCTTTCGCGTGGAAATAATCTTTGGTCATTTCAGGGAGACCTTTTGGGTGAAATTTGGTATACATAGGAGGTCTATTTTAGAGCAGAAATTAGATAATGTACCCCCAAATTTTGATGTAGCATCACAGGAGCTGTCTTCAATTCATGATCATCATTTGTTGTATGCTTGTTGAATCTACCCTTATCTTGTGCCGCATTTATTTTCTCGGTGGTGTACCAAGAACAACACAAGGGCTCATCACTTCACCATATTACTTTTTACATTGTTAGATTAGACTAGTAGGTTTTGAGTGCTTGGGCTGGATATAATTTGGTTGAATATTCCATTACACATTATCTTTTTTGCATTTGTAGTGACTCTGCAGTGGGCTCTTGAATATTACATTACTCATTATCTGCAACCCCAAAAAAAAAAAAAGGGTTCAAGAAGAAATAATGAAACGAGATCAAATTTTGATAGGCTACAATACTGAGCACCGCCATTTGATCACCTGGATTGACAATAAGAGCCTGGGGTTTTATAGGAACTCTGAACCACGACCGGATCTTTGAAAAGCGGAAGACGATGTGTTGGGTACGTTGGACTGTACTGATTACCGTTTATTCATAATATTATAAGGCGTTTAGTGCTGTTTCCGATAAATAATCTGACTAAGTTATACTGTGGTACTATTCCGGATAACATCGGATCAGACTATTTAAAAAAAAATAAAAAAATTCTTTGCTAATTTAATATGAAGTTGAAATTCAAATGACATGAATGGTTTTTTTGGGTAAGATTCATAGACAAGATTTGTTTTTCAATTGTTTTTACCAAGACTTTTTTTTTTTTTTTTTTTCATATAACCCATTATAATATATTATTCTTTTCAATTGTTATCTTTGTTTCTAGTTCTCAATAGAGTGAAAAAGTGGAAAACAACAAACAAAAAGCGAAATATGGACAAAGAAATAATTCCACGAACTTTATTTGCTAAAGATTCCCACAACGTCGAATCACCATATCACATACCAAAACATTCGATTAAAAACAAAATGTCAAGAAGGAAAAATTCATAACCTAATTTCCACAAAAAATTAATAAAAGATGAAATATATAAAGAAGAGAGAAGAAGCATATGGGGGAGAGTTTCAAAAAAAGTGAGAGTGAGAGATGGATACCTGGAGAAGAGTGAAGAAAATGACTTATGGAAAAGATAGAAGAGAAGAACCCTAGGGAGAAGAAGATGAAAAAGCGTCTGATTTTTCTCGTAGAACGCATGTTCTTTTTCTCTAGGCGTATGATTAAACGTATATTATCTAAATTGGGGTGTGAGTTATATTAGTTAGTCTAGTAAGGAGAGTATTAAAAGCCCAATATGTATAAAATAGTAAGCTAATTAAATAATACAAGATGACACCAAACATCTTATATGAACTATTTACTCATATCCAGAGTCTAATATAGTGCACCAAATATACCTTAAGGATAGGCAAAAGTTTACTATATAGACTGATATGACATGTTGCCTATTCAGTTAACTATTGGAAACAAAATTGATCACTTTAATGGAACTAGGCAATTATATTATTTATTTTGATTTTTTACATTTACCTAATTTCACTAACCACAAAAAACAAAAGAAACTTGTATTTTATAAATAATAAAAATATGTGGATCCAATATAGACTTTGAAGTCGACAATATTTTGCCTACCCATTGGAGATGCTCTTTAGCTTATCCTTTTTTTTTTTTTTTTTTTTTTGTTTTTTTTTGTTTTTTGTACAAGAGAATGTTCTGTTCTTTCTTCTTCTTTTGTTGTTTTGTTTTTGTATTTTTTTTTCTAAATAATAGACAAACATGAGCTACTTTTCTAGATCTGCATAATTATAGTGGAGGAGAATGCATACACTGAATATTAGGAAAGGAAAAAAATATAAAATATAAGCAAGCCTCGTATAATTCAATAGGATAGATAGACTTTATTTTTTTAAATATCTCTCCCCTTGAAATTGCAGAAACGTCCAAGATGCTCCCATCATGAGCTTCCTTTGAAACAGAAGAGATATCATTTTCATTTGCAGCTGAAATTACAGAAGCTCTTTTTTTGGGGGGTGAGGCTAGAAAGAAACCAACCAACCAAGCAACCACACAGACAGACATGGCTGAATCTTCTTCCACTATTGCCAAGCCCAATATAGACTTAGGATCCAAAACTGTCCAAGAGCTGCTCCTGCTTGCCAAAGGGGAACAAGAAGTGCCTGAGAAATATATCTATAAAGTTGGAGCCCCAGATGCATCTTCTGTCCAGTTGAAGGATATTCCAGTAATTGATCTTGGCCTGCTCCTCACACCTTCCTCAACCACTCAACAACTTGAGAATTTTCGATCAGCTCTTACCACATGGGGTTGCTTTCAGGTCTGAATTCAAATACCCAATTTAATTGTGTTTACTTGAGAAAACTTGGTACATGAATTAGCAAAATTTTGAATAATCTACCTGAATTCATATGTAAAACATGCTTGAGGCTGCTGCTTTGACTCTGTGTTCCAGGTAATAAACCATGGCATGACACCTGAATTCCTAGACGAGGTCCGCGAAATGACAAAACAATTTTTCGCACTTCCACTGGACGAGAAGCAGAAATACTTGAGAGAAGTCAACGATATTCAAGGATATGGGAACGATATGGTTATTTCTCAACAACAAACACTTGATTGGACTGACCGGCTATACCTTTCTGTGTATCCACAAGAGGCTCGAAAGCTCAAATTGTGGCCTCAAAATCCCCAATCTTTGAGGTAACTTGTGTTTGCTTGCTATAAATGTATCTTCTTCCTTCACTCTGAACTGAAGCAACCAGCATATCATGATCTCTCAGTCATAGTTCAACATGTATATATGTATATATATATATAAAATTATTATTATTATTATTATTAGGGTTATCTACTGTAGACGTCCAAGAACTTGGCTCCCAATTGCAATTAGGTCTGTGAACTTTTTTTTTCGAGGCAATTACATCAGTTAACTTGATAAATAGTTCCTATTGGGTCATACCGTCCAACTCTATCAATTTATCTGTTAAAGTGAGAGGGTAAAAGTGTCATTTCGGGTTCTTCATCCATCATTGACCCCAATTCCACCTTCTTCATCCATCATCAACCCTAACAACCCCACCTCCATCTTCACAAGTTTACAATACAAATCCATATCAAACAGTTTGTGATTGGTAGAAACCACATAGGATTTACTTGGCTCTATTTACAGATGCACAATAGGGGATTAATAAGATCAGATCTTAGAGCTAGCCCCTTGTATAGGGTTCCAAACGTAGCAAAATTCCCTTTTGGGGTATTTCGAAGGTGTAACCTAGGCAACGAAAAAGGAGCCCAATACTTCAACTAGAGTTTGAACGAATCACTTAGATACAAGCCTAGAACCTTAGTGAGTTTGAACGAATCACTTAGATACAATTCTCTCATATTCCACATTTATGAAAAATCTGGAATTGTTTTCAATCATGGGCAGCCATTTGCTTTCAGAACATACAAATTGGTTGGTTGGCAGGCTACAAAAGTCATTGCCTCCAAGAAGCAGATCTTCTAAGCATATTAAGCTACATAGATCCTTTGGGATTGCATCCGCAGTTAACCGCCAGCAGCCTGCAAGACATAACTCTATTAAAGAGTTTAAGCCATGTAACGAAAGGGGTAAAAGATGGAATTTCAAAATTCTCACCAGATAGAGATAAAATTCTCAACTTCTTCAAGTTTACTATGGAAGATGGAATTTGTCTGATGGCTGTCTTATCTGCTTCCAAGATTGTCAATGATACCATGTCCCCTAAGCCATCGGCCAAAAGTTCGAGTACCCAATTGCAATTGGGGGCCAAATTCAGGAATATCTACAATAGATAACCCTTGTTATTATTATTATTATTATTGCAGGGGAACCTTAGAACAATATTCGAGGAAGTTACAAGTGGTAACAAAAACTGTCCTTGTGGCCATGGCGAGGTCATTGAATTTGGATGACAATTGCTTTTGGGAGCAGTATGGAGAAAAAGGGAAAATGGATGTGAGGTTTAACTTATATCCTCCTTGTTCAAGGCCTGATGTTGTCCTAGGTCTCAAACCACATGCAGATGGAACAATAATCACCCTTCTCTTGCAAGACAAACAAGTCGAAGGCCTTCAGTTTCTTAAAGACGATCAGTGGTTTAGAGCTCCCATTGTTCCTGAGGCGCTTCTCATTAATGTCGGTGATTTGGCAGAGGTAAATCAAATGTTCCCTCTCAACCTGTTCAATTAGGGGAATGTTAGCAACCTTCTCTTTAACCTTATTCTTTGGACCTTTTCCCTTTTCCTTATTACCTGTGTCATTTTCTTTACACTTAAAACAATACGATTAATACAACAAACAACCTAGCTTTTGTTTTCCATATTTACCCTTATTTGATGTATTGACTTTACTTTAATTTATTAATTTTTTTACAGCTTTCTTAATAACTTGTAAAAAATTATTATATTAATTTATTAAATATTAAAATTAAATATTTTTAAAATTAAATTTTTTTTTTTATAAAAAAAAAACCTATCTCAAGCCGTCCCCACCTTCTTCCCCAAAGCCCAGCACCTCCATCTTCCCCACCATCTCCTTAGCGCCACCCATCTCCACCCCATCCTCTCCTCACCACCTCCCCATACTCTCTTCCTTCTCTCTCCCTCTTTTTCTCTCTTCCCCCAATCTCTCTTCAAACAAAACCAAGCCCCTGCAAGTTTTGGCTATGGTAAGAAGACCTCAAGGCCACGACAAGCATTGGCCATTATACTAAATTTGGGTTTGAGGACCATTACCAAGCACCAACAACAACAGCCCAACCCAAATTTAAAAATCTCACCTTAAAGTTGCAAACTTTAATATGAGAAATAAACAAAATGATTTTGATGGATTTTGATTTTGATTTTAATTTTTTTGTGGGAGATGTCATGTTGTTTTAGGTGTGAAGGTCTGGCTCTCTCAAAATGATAATAGAGGGTTGGATTTGGGGCTGCAAGTCTGTGATTATTCGAAGAGAGAGAGAGAGAGAGTTGGAAAAAAATTTGAATGAATTGAAGTAAACATTAAAGTCAATACAAAAATAAGGGTAAATATGGAAAACAAAAAGTAGGTTGTTTGATGTATTAATGGTATTGTTTTAAGTGTAAAGAAAATAACACATGTCATGAGGGAAAGGGAGAAGGTCCAAAGAATACGGTTAGAGAGAAGGTTGCTAGCATTCCCCATTCAGTTATTGGTTTTAAGTAACTTTTAAAGCAAGGCTTGAAGAAGAGTAGTAAAGCTTAATTGAAATTTGGTGAGTAATTGAAATTGTACCCTTTTGGCCAATGGGCTCTAGCCCAGTGGAAAAGGACATTGGACTTGCAAACCAGTGGTTTCAGGTTCGAACCCTCATGACAGCTTTATAGTGTGTCTGATAAAGAGCCCCTCCCCAATATCACTTGTATAAAAAATAAAAATAAAAATGTTCCCTTTTGTATGTCATTGTTGTTAGGACTAAAACCAACTCATCAAATATGCCTTTAAATGAATTGAATGAGACCCTTTGAGCGAATTTTAACAACCTAATGCAGTTGGTTTGGCTTACAGAAGCTTGATTGTTGGTTTCCTTGTGATACACAGATATTGAGCAATGGAATATTCAAGAGCCCTCTACACAGGGTATTGACAAATCCAGACAAGGAGAGGATTTCTTTGGCTGCTTTCTGCTTGCCTGAATTAGATAAAGAGACTGAACCTTTTGAAAGCCTAGTCAATGAGTCAACGCCAAAATTGTACAAGAAGGTGAAAAATTATGATCGCACATATTTCGACTACTACCAGCAGGGGAGGAGACCAATTGAAGCATCAAAAATTTAAACTTACCCTTTATTTCTCTCTCTTAACCTTGTATATAAATATATATATATATATATATTTATGGGGTGGATCTTGGCACTCTATTTGTTACGTTTTCTTTCTGTTTGAGGTAATTAACTTTTGATTGTCAAATCTACTATTTATTTTATTTTATTTTATTTATAAATGCTTATTTATTAGAGACTGATAATCTGCTTCCCAGTGATTGGCACGTCTTTGGTTCTGTTTCTTCTTCTGAGCAAGTAGAGATAGATAGTGATAAAATCTGCTGCAGACAGTGAAGGTTTTGAAATAAAGAAAATAAAATAACTTATTTTAACAGCCCCTATAACATTATGTCTTTTAAGTCAATTTTTTTTCAATTGATGTAATGTGGGAGAGGATATTCGAAATCTCTTTTAACATTAGAAATAAATAAATACATACCACTACACGAAAATTTGAGAGTGATGCAAATATGCATCTTGTTGCACCTTCAATCAGATGATTCGATTTCTCAATCTTTCTGAGTTGCTCCTACGGAACCAAGGTGAAGTGTTTGTTCCTGAACGGAGGAAGTGGAAAGCGTTTTCCAACAGACTATGGTTTCGAGGCTTCTTGGGGCACCACACTATCTTTACAAAACCCCACCTCACCATCTAGATTGCTCATCATCCCAACCCGGATTTGAGTGGCTGCCTAGTCGGTGCATGCGACAGACTGTCGCTTCAGACTCAACACGACGTCTCTTAGTCTTACCATTTTCTTCAACTTTTGCTTCCCTATAGATTGACAAGACATTAAATTTCTCAGCATCTTGAGCATACACCAGACAGATCCCGCACTGTTTCACTTTAAAGTCGGAAGCGTAAACTGGAGTGCCAACATTCGGCTGTATGTTGTTAACTGCAGTGTTTTACTTTTGGTCGTCACTAACAACTATTCTGCTCTTTTTACAATTTGTTGGCGGATTGGGTCTTTCATGGCAGCTGTCTTTTGGCATTCTGGTTCTTCTTTATTTCTACTCTCACTACTTCTTTGCCCGTGGAGCTGCCCATATTGGTGCAATGTTTACAGCATTCTTGCCAGTTGCTAGTGCTCTTGGTACTCCACCATACTTTGGAGTGATGGTGCTTGAATTGCTCTCCAACCTCATGGGTGGCCTTACCCACTATCATGGACGGATCAAGGAATTGCAAATCGGGTGGGCTAAATTTACCTTAAGTACAAATGTATTAAGAAAAATTGGTGAGTTTTGTGGATTTTGGTTGGTTTTTGTAGATTTTTAGGCTTGGATGATAGATTTTAGGAACTAAAAACTAGAGTTAACCCACATGGGGTGGCTAAATTTTTTTGGGGTAAATCATAAGCCCTAGTTTGTTATATTTTTATTTTATATAAGCACTCTTTTTTCAGTATATTTTCTTCATCATATTTACAACTTTTTGTTATTATACGACATTTGAAATAGAGAAAATGTTAGAATTATTGATAATATTGTTGAAATATTTGGAAGGGATTGAAGGGAAACAAAGAAAGAAAAGGAAAAAAAAATATTTATAAGGAGTTGAAGTTAAAAAAGAAAGTAATAATAAAATAAAAACATCCCATTTTGTGGGAGAGGGAACCTAACAAAATAAAAAATCTCATCCCAACACATATCTCTCCTGCTCTCTTTTTTATTATATTTTCTTGTCTCTCTCTTTTTTTTATTCTTTTTTCCCCTCTCTCTCTCTCTCTCTCTCCTCCCCTCTCCCTCTTTCTTTATTCTTTTTCCTTCTTCTCTCTCCGTCTGCTCCATCTCTCTATCCTTTTTTCTTGCAGCTTTGGGATGGGCTATCTCTATTAAGTTTTTTTTTTTTTTTTTTTTTGGTTGTAAATCTTAAGAATACTGGTATTACAAATACAAAAAAAATATTCGTATGGGTTGTAGCCCAAACAGCCCACAATTTGGATCCATCCCTGCCCACTATGGTATTGGGTCGACACTTGTTTTCTACGGCGCTAACTATGTTCCGCTTAGCAATTGGAGGGGCTATGGATTCCTTATCTCTGTGGTCAATATTATTAGGGTAAATTACTCAAATGATCCTTAAACTTGTACTTGATTTACTTTTTGGTCCCTCAATTAAATTATTAGTCCAAATATCCATTAACTATATATTAATCGCTCCATTGGTCCTACCGTTTAATTTTCTGTTAAATTTAACTAAATTTTAGGGTAAATACGACTTTTAAAATAAATAAAAAATTAGAAAAATTTGAAGAAAAAGAGAAAAAAAAAATCATGAGACCCAAACCCAGTGCCTCCTCCCTTCGATTTCTTCTCCGCCATTCCCCCTCTTCTCTCTGCTCTCCACCTCTGTCTCTTATCCCCTCTCTGCTCTCCTCCACCAATTTCTCCTCTATCTAGTTGATCCAACCTCCCCCCTCCTTTCACGGATTTCACTTCCCCAACACTCTGAGCACCTGTCAACTTCGCCAACACCACAAACCTTCCTTCAAAACTCATATCCATTTTCTTCCTCAATTTTTGTTTTTGTTTCATTCAACAACCAACCAAGCCCAAAGGCACGAAAAAACACCAGCCAAGACCAAAGGAAACATCAATGGCATACAAACACAAAAACCAAAAAGGGAAAACATCCACAAAGCCAAAGGGGACCAAATCACGCCCTCAATTCTTCCTCAGTTTAATCAACCCATTTGACAACGAAGTCCAATAAGCCCAGCAGTGAACCAAACAGTTGTGAAGACTGATTCGAATATGTGGCTAGCTGAGCAATTGGTGAAGATTGAAGGAATAGTGGCAGTTGAAGTAGACAAAGTAGGTGCTAACAAATACATCTGAGTGACTTTGAGTATAGAGCCAACGACGAGAGTTGAGAAGATGAAGTCGAACTCGTTGATGGAATTTCTTACATTCTCTTTGCCCTCAATGAAAATTTTGGAAGAACTGTAACCCAGAAATTCCCCAATATCGAGTCTAATTTTGAGAGAGAGAGAGATAGGGAGAGTTTTTATTTCATTTTTCAGTATTTATTTATTTTTAACGTATGAAATGACCAATTTGCCCTCATATTTAATGCCAACATTGACAGAATGTAACGGTAGGACCCATGGAGCGATTAATATAGAGTTGATGGACCATTTAGACTAATAATTTAATTGATTGACCAAAATGTAAATCGAGTATAAGTTTGAGGACCATTTGAGTAATTTACCCATATTATGATTTGGAGGGGTTTGGTGGAAGTTCATCGGCTTGTGGTACTCAACCTAAACACAGAAGGATTGAATAATTGTGAATGATTTTATATTTCTCTATGAGGAGGATATATATACAAGTTGATAAGGAAAAGTAGTTAGCTAATTATAAGGAATCCTAACTAGGTAATTATTCTAATTAGGTAATGTGAATTACACCATGAAATCAAGGATCGCGGGATCCTAGAATTATGGCTCACGCCAACACTTACCCTCAAGTTGGTGTGTAGATATCTCCTATGCCCAACTTGTCAAGTGACTCTTGAAAAACTTTTGCTGACACCGCATGCGTTAAGAATTTGCCAGCTGTTCTTATGACTTTACAAATGGTATATTGATAAGCTTATCTACCAGCTTCTTCTTGATAAAATGACTATCCACTTCAACATGCTTAGTTCTGCCATTTTAAACTAGATTATTTTCTATATCTCTCGCAACTTGGTTGTCACAGTAAAACTCGATGACTTTCTTTGGTGGAAAATCAATTTCAGACAGGAGTATCCTTAGCCAAAGAAGCCCACAAACTTCGTGTGCTATGCCCTTGTATTCTGCCTCTGCTGAAGATCGAGCCACTACATTCCCAATGAAAGTGAAGTAACCTGATGTAGAATGTCTATCTATTATATTGCTTGCCCAATCTGCATTTGTATAACCCTTGACATCCAAATGTCTCAGTTTTCTGAATATCAAGCCTCGACCTGGAGCTTTCTTCAAATAACTCAAAATCCTCGTAACTGTCACTAAGTGATCCTCACTAGGAGAATGCATGAACTAGCTAACAATACCAACTGCATATGCGATATTTGGTATAGTGTGCGAAAGATAAGTTAGTCTTCCCACTAATCTCTGATATCTCTCCTTGTTAGTTGACACTTGATCTGGATAGATTGCTAGATGATGATTCAGCTGGTGCACACCTTAACATACCAGTACAAACATATCCTAATAATCAACTCCACACGTATGCGTATAGTCTTTGCCACAAGTCTTGCTTTATATCTATCTATAGTGCCATCAGCTTTGTGCTTAACTGTGTACACCTATCGACATCCAACATGTTTCTTTCCTTTAGGTTCAGGAAGTATCACCCATGTTCCATTCTTCTGTAAGGCCTTCATCTCCACATTCATTGCTTCAACCATTTTGGGTCTTGCAAAGCTTCTTCCAATCTATCAGGAATTTTAGTTCCATCCATCTGACTTACAAATGCTTTAGCATGAGGAGACAATCTGTGTGTGGAGACATAATAAGCAATGGCATATTTCACCTTGCCTTCTGGTGAGAATTTGTTTGGTGGTATTCCCCAGTTTGCTCGTGCATGTAATTTTTTTTTTCTTCACAATTTCAACAATATTTTGAGAAGCACTGAGATCTGAAGGACTTACCTCAGGGATGTTCAGTGGAGCATGAGCAGGTATGTTTGAGAGAGGGGGTCGTTGCTGTCTAGTTCGGGGTCGCTGATGTCCAGTTCGTCTCGGCTTGGCTGTTCAGCTTGGCTAGATTGTTCAGCTTGGTTCGGCTGGCTACGTGGAGCGACTCGAGTTTCAACACACTATTTTGTGCTTCTTTCCCCCTTATTTTTATCTTGAACCAATTATGTGTTTCCTTTACTGTATTCTCCCCCTGAAGGACATGATTGGGCACTATTGATAGAAAAAACATCTTGTTCTCCAGAAACGTAACATGCATGGTAACATAAAAGCAGTGACTGTAGGGATGGTAACACTGATAACCTTTTTTGTTGAGGTGAAAGACCCACAAAGACACATCGGAGGGCACACAGATCCAACTTGGTATGATGAGATTCATTGAGATGGACATACGCCACACAACTAAAAATTCGAGTTGTGAGATTAAGAGGGAACAAACATG